CACAAAGCAGCAAGCAATGCTCCATCACACACCAAATGGAAAATAAGACCTTTGAGGAAAGCACAAGTTATTTACAGGAAGTAACTCTGCATGCTCCACAGTTAACCACTGCATCCCACTCCTGCACCCAGTCTTGGGTGCTGGGACAGTGGTTGCAGGGACCAGCCCTGCTATGCCACCCAGCACCAAGTGATGCTGTGGACCCCACTGCAATGCCATGCCATGCCATCCCAGCACTCCTCCCTTCAGCCAGATTGAGCAGCCCATTCCACCTCCAGTGAGGGAAAAACGGAGAGTTTGCTTTCCAGGGAAGCTGTGGTCCACGCTCGCCAACTGTCAGACCAGACCCATGTTCATCCATGAGGCAGCTCCTGCTCCCAGACAGCTCGGACAAGGGACAGGAGGGATACAGTGGGGTGGAGGCATCAGGATCTTGTCCCCCAGCACAGCTCCACAGCCAATTTCTCAGAAAATTGAGCTTAAAACCAGCCACAGCAGCAGGTACACCACCAGCCCCGCTCGCCAAATGCGACAGCTCTAAACCCAAGGCAGTGCACAGCCCCATCCTCACAGCACCCACTCTGCAGCACCATTTACCTGGATAAGACATGATTTTTGGTCCTGGCATTTGTCCAAATAAACCAACCACCCTCTGGCTCCTGACACTCATTTCACACCCCTCAGAAGCACTGGGAGAGCAGCAGCTCTGACCGCACACTGCTTCATCTTCTGATCCAGGAACATGCCACATGCCAGAGCAGGCAGAAAGCCTGAACCTAAAGGACCCACTGAAGCTTTGGGAAGAGCAGGTACCTCTACAAGCACCTCAAGCTACTCTGATGCTCCCTTAAAAAGATTAATTCACATGCCAAAGAGCTGGAGATGTTCCGTTACTTACAGACACCATAAGCACCACACCCCAAGACAAACCTCCAGCTCCTTCCTCTCCACCAGCAGTGATGTTTTTCTTTCTCCTTGCCAGCCCATACACGGGCAACACAATATTCAGCTTTTAACTACGCATTGAACAAGTCCCCCACACTCCTACTGCAGAGAGAAAATCCTGAGGATTCTGGTTTAAAGCCTGGCAGACACTGTAGGACTCTTCCAAAACCTACATGACAAAAGGGTCTTGGCCTCTCTTTTTAAGAAATGGAGGTGGTTCCTTTTAGCATTCATTTCTGTTCTGGCTGGTAAAAGGTGTTTCTTAGTCATAACAGCAAGGAATGTCAGGCACAGGGATGATGAACATCTCACAGGAGAACCAGCAGCCTCTGGTACCTACCAGCAACAACTGGCTGCTCCTCATTAGCCTGTTGCACAGGTTTAAAATACAGTATTACTCAAATGAAGAGGATTTCATAAAATAAACACACTCCACAAATCAAAGCCCACAAGGACTCAAGTCCTATACTACAAGAATTACGAGTTCAGGACTTCCACTTGAGTAGACCTCAGGTGCATTTAGCATAGGGAAGCCACAATCAGGCAGATACTCATTCCGTGATTCCATGTAGCCTCCAACCCCCGGTTGCACCCGTAATGCCAGAACCATCTGATGCCTCTGCCAGTGCTCTGGCACTCACAGATGAAGGTGTCCAGCAGGTTTTGCTGCTTGAATAACACCTTAGAACACCTGTGTGTCCCACCACCTCCACGGATGATCCATAAAGCAGCTGGGGGGAGTGAGACCATTCAACTCAGGCTCTTCTGCAGGACCAAGATTTCACTCCCCCTTAACAAAGAAACCTGAGAGCTGTGGTGTGGGGAAGCTTTGGGGGGGTTGAAACTCACCAGCTTGATCAGCCAAGGCACCAACCCGTGCAAAGCCACCTACAACAAACCCACAACCTCTCTGTACAAGTAACTGACGAGCGGGAGCAAGCTCCAAGGCCAGAGCATTGCTGAAACCCTTCGGAACACGTGGAAAGGGATGTTTCCTGAGGGATTTGCTGCCCCTGTGCCTCCTCTGCCCAGGCAGGGCTGGGGGGTGCTAAGAGGGCTCCTACCACGCTGCTCCCAGCTCCTTCACCTCAGAGTGTGACCCTCTGTGGCAGCACAATGGGTGTCTCAGCAGCACCACAAGAAAAACAAGCCCTTCCCTGCTGCACTGCCCAACAACTCTCTCCAAAAAAGAACTCGGTGTTTATGCAGCCACATGGGTGATCCATAAACCCTCACAGGACAAAACTAAACCAGCTCCAGCTCAAAAGCAATCACACAAAACCCTACACCACCTCAGCATTGGGGCACCCAGGCCGAGCACAGGCCAAATGGAAACACACCAGCACCCTTTCATTTCTACCCTTAAAACAGTCCAATCCCATACAGAACTTAATAGGAATAAAAACAGAGAACATGATGCTTACCTTGAGTGCTGGTGGACCAGGAGTGCTCCAGAAAGGAGAAGAAACCACACGTGAAGGACCCCAGGAGCTGAGGGTGGCGGCCATCTTGTTTCTGTGTGAGATGAGCCAGCACCAGCACCTGAGGTGTGGGCACAGGTGGGACCCATCGGGCCACCAGCGAACCCCAAACACCTCCAAGTCCAAGTGCTCCCGCAGCGAACCCCAACCCCCTCCCGCTGCTCCCGCAGCGAACCCCGACCACCTCCCGCTGCTCCCGCAGCGAACCTGCGCAGGGACAGGGTTGTTCTTCCTCCATGTACGTGCCCTCCACCCCCAGCACCCTCCAAGTGCCAACATCCGGCCCCCAGGTTCCAACCTAGTGTGGGGACCGCATGGGGAAGGCTTCAGCTGAGCCTTGCGGGGGTCCGGGGTGGAGTTCAATAGCCCTAAAGCTTCTTTAGAGGGTCCTACGTTTGCATGATTACAGAGAGGTACTAAAGGGAAGAATAGAACAGAGAAGAGTACTTCATGTCTTATTTCATTGCTTCGCTATAAAATCCTTCTTTATTCCCTTTAAAGCCTTTGCTGTCAACTGAAATAAACCTCCAGATTTATTCCTGGGCAAGGGCATGAGTAATAAAGAAGAAAAATTAAGCACAATCGGTGGATTGCACAAGGGAAACCCCAAAGCTAACCCTGGAATTTCAACCCACAGAAGTGCTTTTGCTGGTGCAAACCCGGGGTGGAACTGAATTCAAATGCACTGTCAAGTTAGGGAAGATCAATGGCATGTGAATGACAGCTTCTGGGGGGGTGTAAGTGAATAGCAACGTCCATCCTTGCTGCCTTTTTGTCCAAAATATGGACAAAGCCCATAGAAAGTGGCAAAAGATGGCACTGCTGCATCTGTGTGCACACGTAAGGAGGAGCAGCCGGCTTGGGATGTGAATGGAAAACCTTCTGGGTGGTGGTGGGAAATGCTGGGAAGGAGAAAAGGGAACAGGAGAAGGCTTTTGTCTGGTTCTTCCCAGTTAAAATGAGCACTGTATTAACAAAAATCTCCTTAAAAAATCCCAAACCATAAAAAAAGGCCGCTTGACCAACTGCATGTGAGTGCTACAGCGAGTGATGTAGGTGCTATGGCAGGACACACCAAAACCAAGCCAAAGGGGATAAAAAACCCCTGCAAAGCTCTTGAAAGCTGGCTTTAAACGATAGTGACGTGTTTTGACACTGTTCCCTGACAACAATGGCTGTAACACAAACAAAAAAATAATGATGTCAAGTATTAATACCAGTGCTGCATGAATTCTGCCAATGTGGTCCCAATTAAACATCAAGTAGGGTTGTATTTGAAAAATGACATTGCGACATTCCCTGCTCCCAACACCCATCCCAGGTCTGCCCGTTTCCCTGGCGGGATGCAGTTCCCGTCTATGAGGGGATGTGGTTCCCACCCTCCCCATCCTCGCTCGTGGCTGCTGTAGAAGCACCCAAATCCAGTTGCCAAAATGCATGACCCAGACATGCATCAGCAGGGTTTTTCATGGTAAGTTTATGTCCTGTTTGAGTTTTGAGCCAGTGAGGAGGAAGTCTCTTTGCATGTTTTTCTCTGCAAAAATATCCTCTGTAACATTGGAAGCTGAGGAGCTTCTGCAGTCACCGGGCTCCAGAGGCTGGGACTGTAGGAAAATCAATGCACAGGGATTTATTATCCAATTCTAAGAGTTGGCAACACCAGTCACTGGCAATATATAACTACTAACCAAGTGGAGCCAGACAGTGTCCAGCCTGCCCATGCAACCGCATGGGTGCTACAGTGCTGACAGCAGATGCTCATGCAGAAGTCAGCAAAGTGTCTGATTTTATCCAGGATTTCTAGAGAGTAAATCAGCCCAGACAAGCTCGTCTGACCAGGACTTCTTCTGGCTTCAACTGCTCCTCAGAGCAAGTATGTTCTTCCCAAACACTTCTGTATCAGTTTATTGCCTGGAGGACAGACCAGGAGATCTACAGGACAAACCTGCACATACTCATCCAACTCACCTCTGCCTTATTTCAAGTTATTGGAGAGGTTCCCAAAATTCAGGCCACTCTATGGTGTCTCCAACTGAGGATCCACCCAACCACGAGTTGTCCAAACCCACCATTTGTTTCTCAACCATCAAACACATCTGGGAGATTCCAGACTCACAGAGACAACCCCTGTGCAAAGCTTATATGACAAACTGGTCCGACTGGGCAGCTTATGGTCTATTCTGTTCTTCCCACCAGTGCTGATAAGCATTGATTAATGTGAACAAACACAAACATGCACGCTTATCTTCATGATGTTCCCATCATGTTTTGTGTTACCAGAGAGATCACAGAGCCCTGAGCAAGAACAGCTACGGGGGATTTTCCTCTCACCACCTCCATTTGCTCCCTGGCTCTCAAACTGTCCTCATTTACCTTCCTCTTGGAGACAACTGCAGCCTTCCAGCAACCCATGTGTTGTTTTCTAAGGGTCCTGGCTGAGATGGAAGACAGTGGCTGCCCCTCTGGAACCTCCCCTTCACTGCAGAGTGCTTGAGCAGACACTGCTGCGGACTCCAATTGAGGATGGATTTGGGGGGGGGGGCAAAAAAAGACAATTAACCCCCCCCCATAATGCGAATACTTTATTATCAATGAGTGACTGGTATTAGCTTTTTGCCTGGGTATTAATAATATTTCCAAAAACCATACATCAAAATTAGGGCTTTCTCCTATTTTTGCTGTATAATTTTTCTCTTTTTTTTCCTTAAAAAAAAAAAAAAAAAATCTGTATTGAAAGAATTATATAAGCCAAAGTGCATTTTCTGGTTTTTGTCCATATACACATTGCACCATACATAAATAATTACATTGTAAAAATGACTCCATAATTACAAGTATAATATATATTTTCATATAATATATAAAACTTTATATTAAATCTAGGTAGATGATATTTGGGATAGTCTGTGTCTTTTTTTTTTCTATTTTCCTTTCGTCAGAGGCTGACTGTTATCGATTGTTACTGAGTAGAATCTCCAGCCAACAAGGACACGACGTGATGAACTGTCTGGAGTAACACGGCCCCCAGCCTTTGGCGAAGCTGATCCTCACGCTGTTGGGGTCGTAGGGCCCGTCCGTGTAATCCAGATCAGCCGTGTGCTGCAAGAGGCAGGACTTCTCGTAGTCAAACACCTTGATGGAGTAACCCGGCATCACCTTGCGCACGATCAAAGTCCTACAGTTGGGGATGTCCAGTGTCGGGGAGTTGACGAAGATGGGGTGCTCGCTGCGGTTGTAAGCCCACACACCGTCCGGTTCTTTGCTGAGTAAAATCCCGTAGCCGATTTTACTTCGAGTCCTTCTCACAGTCTCGCTCCTGTTTTCCAGGTTTAGCTGTCCGAGGCAGAAGCCGTTTCCTTGAGGTAGGTCATAAAATATACTGACAGACTGTTCGTACACTGTGTAGAGGCGGCCAACGCGCGTCCGGTGCTCCCAATAGGCCACGTTGCACCAATGGCTCCTCTTCACGGCATCGGGCGACGTACTGGCATCTGTGGGGGAAAGGAGAGGACCAGTCAGGGGCTGCTGTGGCATCCTAGGAAAGACAGGTATGGAGGGGAAGCAAATGGCTCTTCCCACCCATCAGCTTTGCTCTTGTGGGAACCAAACTTGTGTTCAACCCAAAGCTTGTCTTCAGTTATATCAAATGCCACCAAGAAACAAAGCTCAAGCCAAGGTTGGTGACCCAACAAGGCCACCCACCAGCTCCCACGGCACTCAACCCATCTTTCTCTCATTTAATGTTCAATCCTGTGTCCAGCAGCTGGGACCCTGTATACTCAAGATATGGGCATTCCTACCACCAAGAGCTGGCATGGATACTGCAACTCAGCCACCCCTGAGCTTGGTGGGTTCCCAAGCTCCTCCAGCTTTGCTGTGGTGGTGTACCCCCATTCTCAAAGGCCATTTCATTGAGCTGAAATACAGGGGATGTCCACGAAGTGCTTGGATGACTGACCCGACACTTATCTCTGCTATGTAATATTCTTTGACAGCGATGCTGATGTTCCCACGGGGAACATGAAATCTGAGGAAGCGTTACATGCCAAGGGGGAGTAGTTGATGCAAACTATATGTGTCCTACTACAAAGCCACCGAAATCTTTCCAGAACAATGAGAAACATCTCTTCTTTGTAAGAATTACATTCAAGGAAGACAGGAGAGACACAGGCTGCCAGAAATCTGTTTAATTTACGATGCCTCCAGAATTTATGATGCCTCCAGAAGGAAGATGGGAACTCTCAGCCCTGAAAGATCCCCAAAGAGGGTGAATTAACCTCTTACTGAACACCATTCCCACTCCTACCACACTGGTTAACAGAATACCAGCCTGGGATTTCAAGCAAGGAGCTCTGCTTCAAGCCAGCCCTGCTCCATGCCCAGCATTAAGCTCCCTGACAGTATACCAGGCGCCCGCAGCCCGCTGACCCCTCTGCCTTCGTGCCATCACGTCCGATTAACTCGCATGCGGGGTGATGCCATTATTTTGCTTCACAGACCCTATTGACACACCGGATTTCAAGCACTGCCCTACAGCCCTGGTTCTTTTCAGGCTCAAATTACCCCGAGGGGAACGGGCTCTCCTCCCCATTAACGACCTTTGAATCAAGTGGCTTTGTTAGAGTTTAACTTGAGTTGTAACTATACAAATTTAAGGGGAGGGAGATGGGGGGAAGGGAGGTAACTGGGCAAGCGGGGAGGCCCTTTGCCATGGGCAATGCTCGTCATCTTGCACTGACCCCTTCACCCATCACAGGTCCAAACCACCCCGCAAATGTCAGATTGGCCCTTTTCTCCTCCATCTTCTGTTTAAAGGATTTTTGGAACCCAGCATGGCCGCCAACAGCCTCTTTTCAGTTTGATGCACATTTTATCCCGACCTAAGAAAGAAACCCCGCAGCAATCAGACACTTCAACCCCGCTGGGAAAAGAAACCCCATTTTCCTACATTTATAGCAATCCTATATGGAGGAGTGAGCCAACAGCTCATACCCCCTAATACTGGAGGTGATGTCCTGGGCCTCCTAAAGGCATGGGAAAAGCACTGCTGAACACAAACGGGTGAGATGCGCCCCTTAAATTCAGAGTTAGTGGCTCTGCACAGCAGGGAAATAGGTGAAGACCTTGGTTAGAGCAGCATCCCAGAACCAGATGAGGCAAACTTTGTGTTACCTTCCCCCAAGGACCAGGCCTTGTCCCCCACCACAGCCCTTGTGGCAGGGTGGGACACTCCACCACATCCCAGTAGCACTGATGGCTCTCTGTGTCTCTGTGCTTCTGAGCATCCTCAGTGAAAACCACTCAGAGTCACTCTGTAACATGCTCATTCTAATTCTGCGCTGGGCTAATGACAAAAATCAGCAAAACCAAATGTTTTTCCCCATTCTTGTTCTTTGGCCAATAACTGTATTTCCTTTGCCATCTCAAATGACCCTCTGGCATCTGGATCACCAGAAGTTAAACAAACAACCCATGTTGCTTCAAAAGGGTAATGACTTCATCGGCAAATGCATGATGGACATGTTGTACCCAAGCACATTATTAAACACTGATGACTGGACTTGACTTTTCCTGAAGTACCTCATGATGCCTTGCAAAGCATCAGCCATGTGAACTTTTAAGGAAGGAAGAGAAGATTCAAATGTAATTCTGGGTTAGAACCCCCTGCCCAGCTGCCTAGTGCTAATATGGTGCACTCAGATCTCCACCAAGAACAGAAACTTTGATGAAATTGGCAATGAAAAGCTTCAGAACCTCTTTGCTCTTTAAAATGCACTACAGCAAATAGCTCCAGATCTTTTCTTAAGAGGTGAAACAAGAGGTAGTTCATAAATAATAGCATAAGAAGAGGAACTGAGCTTCACCTGCAGATACATCTTCCACAGTGTCCAGTTTCCATAGTCATCTTTCCCCTGGGACATCATACAGTTGAGATGCCCCCAGTGCCTTTCCAGAACTCTATTCAAATGCTAGATTTTGCTGTTGTCTCACTCCAGTGATGCTGGGGAGTTACAGACAAACTCAAAGCTTTTCATCTCGCAGGCCTGGAGGCTGGTAGCAATTACTGAGCTCTGCATCTGTTTAACCTCCCAACCTCCACAAAGCCCTGCATGCCCATTAGGTGAGTTGGTTTTGTTATTACATCTTTTAGAAACTACCACTCAGCCCCTGAATTTCCCTCACGGACTAAGAATGGGACAACTTCAAACCTCCAGTTTCCCCATCAGCTGAATTAATCAGGGGAACAGTCAGCAATAAACGTTTAAATAGGTGTTTCCCATGGTTTACTGCAAATCAAGATACCTAGTCAGGGAACGCAAAGCAAAAGGAAAACAGTGTCTGTTCTACAAGAACATCTCACTGTTGGTGCCACCATTCCTGATGCCATCTCTGCTTGCCAGGAACTGGCAAATATTTTGGCAAAATCACCAACCTACACACATGCTGCAAACAGGGGAAGGTGTTTTTACACCTTCTGTTTTCATGCATCTGAAATAGTCATATTAAAATTATTTCCATGGACTTTACAGCAGGAGCTTCAGTGCAGCCATCCATGCACACGTCTTGGGGGCTGAAGTCCCTCCTATTAATGTGCTTCTCATCTCTGTCACCCCACGACAGCTCCTGACTTGCAGTGACAGCTCTGCCAGCTCAAAGCATGCCTGGAGATGGCCTGTGCTCCTTCACACGGGTGCGGATGTGAGTTTTAGCTAACTGCACATCAAGCAGCTAAAAGTTTCCTTTCCACCCCACTCTTCCTGGCCAGGGGTGAAGAAAGGCTTTAAAAGCCCTGCACCAGCTGCAAAAGCAACCTGCTCGTGGCACGCAGGCAAATAAAACACCCTGAGAGGAGATGGTTAAAAGGCTCCTCTGAAAAGCCTACAGAGAGCTTGGGGCAGGTCCCTCTTCTCCCCAGCCCCATCCAGGGGCTCTCACTCCCTGCACTGTGGTGGGTTCTTTTGCTGTCTTTTATCTCCCAGCGCACTCAAGCAAATCCTGAGCAGATGAACTCATCTCACAGCCCTGACACAGAGCAAGCACTTCACCAAGCCCCTCATACAGGGGGGCCTGCGCTGTGTCTTATCCCCTGCCAAGTATTAGTTTCGCCTCCAGCTATTAGCCACTACCACTCAGCAGACAGCAGGGGCGGCCGGCAGAAAAGCATGTCCTCTGCCTTTTAAATAAATATTCCCTTTTTCCCTCCTCTTGTTTCACGCTGCCCTTTATGCACAGACAAGAAAATCTGCCTTTCCCCCCCCCTTTTCTGCTGGAACAGAGGCAGCTTGTTAGATTTCTGTTTGAAGAAAGCAAAATATTTGAGTCCTGAAGTGCCTCCCTTGATGGTATACGAAGCATTTTTAACAACTATCATTGTAGGCAGCTACAACTTCCAACAGCTACATTTAGGCTGGCGTCAGGGCTATCTCTTCCATCAAAGCCACCTTTATTGATCAGATGGACAGGCTGGAACTCTGGCTCTTGTTTACTCTCTCCTCCGAGTCGCTGTTTCCTCTGCTGATGCCTCGCAGCAGACACATCCAAAAGGAAATTCAAACAATTTAAGATAAAAAAACAAGATAGGAAGCAAGAGGGAGAATCAAACCCAGAACTTAATGGGAAAAGAGTCTTGCATGGCTCAGGCAAAAGGAATCCGGCTACGGGAATCAATGCAAAGAGCAAATACTGTAAACCCTCGCGGCATTAGCAGCACTGCAGAGTGTGGAGGTAAAGAAAATAACTTGAGGTTTTAGCTTATTTGTGACTTGACAGCGTTTTATGTCAGGGAAGTTCAAAGCAGCGCATTAAAAGAGAGAAGAAAGATGCTTTTTTCCAAAACAAAATGCTGCACAGTCCCACTGCTTGATGTCGCACTTAAAAGCAGGATGGAAAACATGGGCAGATCACAAAACACATGAAATATCTCTGATTCATGCTTTGGCTCTTCCAAAGCCACCAAACTCCTTCTCAGCAGGTCAAATGGCCCCACAATATATGGCTGCAAGTAAGATCTTGCTGTGCAAAATGGGGGTGAGACGGGATGTTTGCTGCAGTGCTTTGAGGAATATTCCCATTTTTCTACAGATTCCTGAGGAAACAGCCACAAGTGGCACCGTGCTGTTTTTCCAAGCAGAGCCTCCCATGAGGAATGGGTGCTGCCAGCACCCCCCCCAACCCCAAACCACACTCATGGGGTTTCGAAACATATTGAAGAGGCGCCCACAGGGAAGACTATGTATGTAAAAAACATAAAACGCTCTCTCCAAATGCGGTGGGGCCTCGGATGCACATCTGGGCACCTGAAGATACGAAGTGGGATATTCAAAGTGCCCCCACACCCCGTTTTCATATCCCACCCTCCCATACTCCTGCATCACAGGGCAGCCTAATGCTCCTCCAGCCATAGAGCTCAGATACATCCTCTCCCAGTGATCAACGTCTTTCCATTGAGTTTTATTCCACTTTAGACTATTAAATACATCCTCATGTCTTT